ATGCTGCTAAAAGAGCTTGTTTTTCCTCAAATGTGGCTCCCAAAATGTAGACATTTAGGAGACACAAGGTTTTCCCCAGACACCATGCACACACACACACACACACACACACACACACACACACCCACAGTCAAACTGAGCCAAATTTAGAAACTAAGATATCATCTTCAGGTTCCTCGAAGACATTGGTATTTTATATTTCACGGCTTCTTCTTCTCACAGCCAAACCCTGCTCCCTTCTCATGCTCTTTCTCCCCGGGAGGTTTTATAAGCTATGTGAATCTGTAATCAGCTTTGATTTACTGCTCATATTTTTTTTTAGACTTGTCTGTTTTTGTGGCCATGTCCTGCATCAGTCTAAATGAACCTCTAATGCCAAATATTGATGTTGTTATTAAGAATAAATACGTGGCATTCTTGAGAGAGTCAGTTTATTGCACAAAATACAGTCGAGCTCAGTGTAAAACTGGCACGTATAGTTCCACATATTGGGAAACATGTATTCACTTTCTTGCTGCCAATCTTCTCTTCTAACTCTCAGCAAGATAGGGAACAAGCAAATTTCCCAGGATATAAAACCGTTCTTCTTTACCTTGCATTGCTTACTCATCACTTTTTACACCAGTTACACCACTTGGAGCTGTTTTTGCGTGTTTGTTTGTTTTGTTTTTCTTTTTGGCATCGAGGAAAAATGCCGAATTCCATTCCAAGAATAATTATGCAGTCAGACACCTCCATTACAGCTGTACTGTGTTTGGCCAGTGCAGACTAATGAGACATTTTCAAACATCAAAGTCACAATTTTCAACATGTAAGATATGTATCACATCAAGCACCACATAGAGAAAATGTATGGAGAAAATACCAGATAGGGGCCATTTTAGCCTGCAGTGTGATTATAGTCATATTCACACTGATTTGATAGCAAAAAGCCAGTGTGTGAGTGTCAATTAAGAGGATACTATAAGTTTTCTAAGGCATAAGTCCAAGACTTAAGTTTTTATGTCTCTGTGGGGTCACTCAGGAGTTATTGTCCAGCAGTTTTCCACAACTCAGCCTGAACTTTTAGCCGAATTACACCCACATGCTTCCTGCAAAGTACTATAAGGAGTCTGTAAACTAGTAACATTAATTGCTGTTACAGAAGCCTCCCTCCCAGTGAAGTGACCACCCCTATTCACACACACGCGCACACACACACACACACACACACACACACACACACACACACACACACAACCCAGCCTGGCCTCTTTGTTGTGGTTTCATTGGTTGATCACTTGCCAGGGCCCCAGGGGTCCCAACTCAGAACACATGTCTGCTTTCTGTATGTTTACAGTACAGCAGTCAAAGCGAATGAACGTTACTCCTGTCAAAGCATACTTGTCTATTCTGGACAGCATCACCAAAAGGAGACAATGCCTTCACGCAACATAAACATGAAACACACTCTAATACCTCTGAAACAACACAACAGATTAAATATAGAAATAAAAATATAAACATATCACTAGCTGTCACGCGACCAACCGGGGCAACCACACTGTGACCGTCATCACACTTTAGATACTACATGATTGTCATTACAGGCAGTGACGGCTCTGCATTGTGTTCAAATATCCGGGTGACCGTAACAGATGCAGCCAAGTTATGACTGACAAGTATTTGGGGGAAGAAGGTCTTCTTATAAAATGGCACACTTTCATTACATTTTGAACATATAATGTAGTTAAACTTTTAATCCAAAATGAAATATATTTCTTTGCTCCCTCTGCTGCTGACAATTATCACGTGATATGATTGAAAGCTCCAGAATAGCCTCTAACTGGAGGTCGAGGTGAGAATTCTTTGTCAAATTTAAATGTAGTTCAAATATGTGCTATAGATATCTTTCAAAATATACAGTTGGCCGCTGCCTGCTCACTCCTTGCAAGCTGATCTGAAAAATGTAATTATTTTAAACCTTGTGAATAAAGTTTAAAATCAGGATGCTCATTCATTTGATCGGTCAAACCTCTGAATGTTCTTACTACTAGACAGTTCTGACTTCCCAACCTTAAAGGTGCCCTGTGGAGTTTTCTTGTGAACAAACAAAAGTTATGTTCACACAGTGTTCACTGACTAAAATGCATTGTGTGTATCACTGAGCTCTAAAATAAATGTGTTGAATGCGTTTCCTTACTCATAAAACTTTTGCAAAGACATTTTTTTCTTTTAAGTTTGGATACAACATGACAGACATGTTAACTAGAAAGCAGTGTTCTTTCCTGCCTTTGTTGGTGCACTAGTGCACAGGACAAACAAATTGGGGACCCACTCATAGAAAAAGTGCTCAGTGGCACTATTAGTGGTCAAAAACTCTACAGATTACCTTAACTGAATCATAAATGTTGTAAAATATGCTATATTTTTAATACAGGGTAAAGATTAATTTCTGCATTGGTATTAGATCTGCTGTTAACTCACTAATGTCTTCTAAGTGGCTTAAAGTGCTGGAGAATCACATGAGTCTCTAAATAACTATAATGCTCGAATGCCTCTAGGTCGTTACTCTTGGTTTGAAGACCTCTTGCAGTTTCCCCATGTGACCTGAACGCAGCACCAGTAGGCAGCGGTGACGCACTCTTATAGGCCCGTGGACCGCTGCGGCACACTGATTGGTCCAAATTGAGGGTGTGTTCACAGTGTGGGCAGCTTTTAACAGACGTGAATTGAGCAGGAGATTCCAGTTTGTGGTATAGGCACAACTGGAAGCGATCCAAGCCATCTCCAGACGCGCGCCACATACACACCCTCCTGTGTGAGCGTGCTGGAAATCTAGTGGACTTTGAAAATACTGCTGCATTGCAATTTCCGCTCTGTGCTCGACAAGATTAATCCATTTTGTGGCACACAGACTGGAACAACTTGTTTTTATTGAGTACAAAGTTTTAATGATGCTATGTTACATTAAGATGTGGCCATACTATTTTTGTATTTGAGTAATATTATGAGGAGACAAACGTAAGACAAGACCATCGTAAATGCATGCAGACAAAGTCTACCACATCCACCAAAGAATATAATGAGAATATTAAAATGTTGAGGTTTTCTGTGCTGCACCATCTCCTGGCCAAAATACCTCCCATTTCTCAGCTGTGGTGACTTCTCCAAAATTCATTCCACTGACTAAAACCTCAATTAAACCGATAGATACTGAAGTCTGATGATAATAATTATCTATATTTAGAGCTATAATTGATCGTCATTTTGGTTAGATTAGAGCGGGAGTCCAATTCCTGCTCTAGGCTAATTTCATTGATGGTCTAAATATAGTTAAAAGTTTTTTCCAGCAGACAGAACCAGCGCTTCCGAGAAAAGGAGTTAATAAAAATAAATGAAATGTTATGATAAACACATTTCACAGTCACTGATCTATGAAATTCCTCCGGCCACAATCAGATGCCTGTTTGTCTGTCTCTTTCCCTGTCTGTCTTCCACACACACCGCAGCCAATCGTTTCCCCATGTTCGTCTATGGGGTGCCTGAGCAGTGCTGTACCGTTTTTCATTCGGGGTCTGAGTTTTAGTCTGGTCCCCAAGCCCAGCCAATCACACGCAGACACTAAACCACATCACCGCTCTTCATTATTGCTGCCACACTATGAGGGAAGTTGAATTGTGTTTCGAACAAGCATTTTAACAGCGTTTTAACAGAGATGAGACAGCCACTGGCTGTCATCTCTATGTCTCCCTAGGTTTCCTCCAGGTGCTCCAGTTTCCTCCCACAAACCAAAGACATGCCAGTCAGGTGAAAAGAAAAAAATCTGAATTTCCTGTATTTATCTGTATGTGTTAGGCCTGTGATTTGCCTGGAAGCCCATTATGGTGAAGTTGCTCTAGTGCGATGTTATAATTAAGAAAAAGGAAGGAACAATTTGCATCACTGGCCCCCCTAGAGGCTTGGAACCCAAGTGCAGTTACCCATCCTGCACCCTGATGTCCTGCCATTGGTTCCAAACCAGCGACATGGCGGCCGGCATCATACCACTGTAGACGCCTTGACCTGAAATTATTAACACCATTAGGTCACTGGAAATATTTCGAAGACAGAGACTTTATGTTGTTACTGCAAGCTCAGTCTTCTTGCAGTTATTCCACATGGCATCCTCAAGGGTTGCTCTTGAAAAAGATTCCTCTAAAGTCTCCAAATGCTCAATGCCAACGTTTGTCCTCTATTCTTAGATCTGTCCCTGTAGTAGCGGTTAGAAGTTAATAAATGTTAATAAAGGCATTCTATTTTTAGGAGCTTTCACTTGTAAGTATCCATTAATTATAGCGTCATCTCAAAATCAATATAGACTATTGCCATAGTTCACATCCTGTTGTCAGTGTATGATAATTATAAGAATATCGATGGCAAGATTAAGATAATTCATTTTCATTGAGTGTTTCTGCAGACTTTGCAGACCTTCTCTCTGTGAAAATAAAGTCCACAGACAGCTTTGAAGCTGTGCTGAATTTAATTACTACCTTGCATTAATGACTTAGTAGGTTGAAAAACCCACAAGTTAAGCCTATTTTATGTGGACTGCTTGAACATCATATGCTTCCATTTTCTCCAGTTTGTTGGCAAGCTTGGTATTTCTTGATCCTCCCACCGCTCTCATACTTAGCCTAAATAAGTGCTCCACATTTATGGAAAAAACAGACTTTTCTGTTGACTTTGCACTGCTGCTGCAACAACAAGCAGGAACTGTTATCTTACAATATATGCAAATTAATTAGGAAGCATTATATTGGACATTATATGATTGACCTTCGCCGATTGGTCTATTGAAACACTGCTTGATCACCCCAAAGCCGCCACGCTCAGTTTGCTCATGAATATTGCTTTATAGCGCCACTTTTATTGCAAAACGGGGACTTTCACTGGACACTCCCCTAAAACCTTGGACGTGGATATCTGCGTCTCTGATTGGTTGTGAAGCCCCAACCGACAACACCTGCTTAACTCCTTCATCCAAATTGACACCCGGGGCTCTGAGAAATATAGGCAGCATCCCTTCCAGCTCATGCATTCAGTCCCACAGCTGCCCCACTAGACACCAAGCCGCAGCTGCGCTGATCACTGATCCAAGGTGAACCCTCACTCACACACACACACACACACACACACATACACAGAGACACACACACACACACACACACACACACGTATACGCACACACACTGCCGGATCTTTGCTGGAAATCGGAGCACACTACCGGGGACGCAATGATGGTCAAACTGGCCGTGGCGCTGCTGGTTTTGTCAGTGCTGGAGCAAGTGGCGGGATCGGATAATATCGATATCCATGACAGCCTCCCGGAGAAGCCCGTGATCCAAAAAGGACGCCTGTCCCTGCAGAATACAGGTATGAACTAAGTGTCAACAGAGTTAAGAATGTGGAGATTCTCCGTTGGCGCAACTGCTCGCACGTCTCCGTGGGTTTTGTCCATACACGTGTTTCATTGGCTGCAAATTAAAACCATGCCGGGGACTCGTCCGGGCGATAACTTAAATCCCGGCGCCACGGTTCTCACGTATACCCGTTTCGATCAATCAGAAAGACGATATCTTGTAAATACTCACAGACAGAAATCCAATATGTTCGTAAACTATTAATAGAATGGCACAAGGTAATAGGTAATGTATACGGGAGCGCATCTAGGTGTGCGTGCGGGTGCGCTGGTGTGCGTGTGTCAGCGCGTTCTAGGTAACATTTTCAGAGGTTTTCTGGACGAAATCTGGGTTTTCGCGGGTTTTTTCCAAGCTGTCTCTTCAAGTGATTGTTGAGTGATGTGTCCACGCAGCTTAGCGGGGCAGTAATGATTGTAGTAGCGTGGTTCAGCGCTGAAGGCGAGCAGGACTTTTATTTCTTGAACCAATCATCTGGGGGAAATACCGTAAAGACAAAAGCGCATCTTGCCTAATAACCACAAAGCACATTGGACTGCTATCTCCGAAAGTCTTTTTGCCTATATTGGCTGAACCTCCCCTCCCTCTCTCGTACTCAGCATTACTTACGACTCATCATGTGGACACGTGGTAAAATATTACAGCATAATTGTTTTCTTGCCTCCACAATGAAAAAAAAAAGGGGACAAACTCTAACGCAGGTTTCACAACAGAGACCCCGGTAGCACCACCACTGTGTAATTCAACGCACGTTGCGGCCAAGCTCGTACGATCCAAGCACATTCCCGTGATGCCAAAACCAGCATTGCTGACAGCGGCTCACTTTTCCTGCGCACTAAAGTTAAACTCGGTGCCTACAAACCCCGCAGCAGATCTCCCCTACCCCCCCCCCCCCCCCCCCCCCCCCCCCCCCCCTTCTACTATCCCCTCAAAACAGAGGCTCTTTGTTGACAAGCGTGATTTCTCAAAAGTCACATTCGATCATTCTTTTCTCTCTTCTTTACGCAACGGCGCGCACTTCCGACTGAGGGGGGAAATGTTCTTACGCCCGTAAGTTATGAGCTTCAAGGCAAATCACGCGTGTAATTATGTTTTTACTTAAGTCAACAGTTACGATCTGTGTAGGCTACGACCCGTTGGCTGCCGAGCTAACCTGCAATTTGCCATATTATCTTAAGAGTAAAGCACTCCCAACGCTGTCACATATGCTAAGCAGCCGTTTCTGTGACAGGTTCCCTGCTGCTTGTCAGATGTCTCATAGTACAAGCTCTAGGACAGCAATTTGGGGCTAAAAGAGAGACCTTCACTTTCACATGGTAATTTCTGTCCTCCAACGTCCGTTTTATTCCTGTCTTTCACAGCCACAGTAAAGAGAAACATCAGTAAAGAGAAAAGGGCACTGGAGAGCCAGCCAGTGATGTGCAGGAGCTGATATTATGTATTCACATGACATATACTTGCATGTTCCCCCAAGTGCCTGCATTGCTGCTGTCGCTTAATGAGGGGACCTTTTTTTCTCTCTCGATCTTGTCATTTCATTATGCAATCTCAGGTTGTATTTGAATGCAATCATGCGGGACTTGCTGTTGCACATTCAGTTGACGGACAATAGAGATGACCGCATTTGTCTCCTCCACAAGTAGTCATGGCTGTATCTGCAATGCACCATCCCATCTCAATGCTATAGGCAGTGCAGATGGATTGTGGTGCAGAATGACGCCGTAATATCTGTCGAAAAGTGTTCCTCTGCAGGAACCCCTCAGCTTGGGAAATTAGACCGCCCCCCCCCCCTCCCCCCACCCCCCACACACACACACACACACACTCCGACCCCCCCACCCACCCTGCATCCCTTTTCTCTCTCAGTCTCTAGGTCATGAACAGGCGAGCGACCGCCTGTGTCTGTGGTAATAGTTATAGGCCACATCAGCTTTGTGATTCGTGCACCAATCTGAAGTGCCAAAAGTGGAGTTGTGCCTTGAAGCTGTGTGGACTTCATTGCCGACACGCCTGCAACAGTCTGCCGCTGTCTCTGCTGTGAACAGATGATAAGGTCCCTCCCCCCTAACCTGTTCTCTCTTTCCAGCTGAGATCCAGCACTGCCTGGTGAGTGCAGGGGATGTCGGCTGTGGTGTGTTTGAGTGCTTTGAGAATAACTCCTGCGAGATACGAGGGCTACAGGAAATCTGCATGACGTTCCTGCACAATGCTGGCAAATTTGACTCTCAGGTACTAAACTGGTCCGTCTGTGTGTTTTGCAAAAATGGTATAACCAGAGGCAACATTCCTTTTCTTGTTTTTGCTGCTCCACACTCATCTATGGACTGATTTCTTTACTTTTGCTTTTTTTTTTTCTTCTACGAAACTTAGAACTTTTTCTAGAAGTGAGATCTTACATACACTTCTCCTCCTCATCTGTTTTCCTCTCTTGGGAAATTCACTTGGTATACAGTTTGCACTAAGGGTCATGAGCCAGTTGGCCAGACGCCTAGTTTGCTCCCTTTTCATACATAGCAAAGGCTGAAGCCCTGCCAAGCCGGGTCTGAGTGGGGTCTTCACATTTCTATAGGGTCAGCTTCTAGGAACCTTTGGCTGACAAATCCAGAAGATTTCAGCAGCAGAGTAACACAATTCATTGCTATTCATGCAGAATTCCATCACCCCATTCTGTATTAGAAGTGTATAGCTACACATGCATACAAAGTTTCCTCCAATGCATCCACACATACTCTCAGACACTACTGAAACCGACGCATATGAGTTAAAATAACCAGCCAGAGGGTTTTCTTTTGTGGATGTGTGTGCTCTCAGGTTTTAACAACGTCAAGGAACGTTGTCTTGATTTCACTCAACAGTTGTGTCTCTTTATGTACATAGGGGAAGTCCTTCATCAAGGATGCTCTGAAATGTATGGCTCATGGGCTACGGCACAAGTTCAGCTGTATCAGCAGGAAGTGTGTGTCCATTAAAGAGATGGTGTTCCAGCTCCAGAGAGAGTGTTATATCAAACACAACCTGTGCTCTGCCGCTAAGGACAATGTGGCCGTCATGGTGGAGATGATCCATTTCCAAGATCTCTTCCCTAAAGGGTGAGTGGCTGCTCTGGACAGCATGTTTGGATACATTTTCACGAGCATGTCCCTTCTCTTTTTATCTCTGAGTGTTTACCTTCCCTGGACTCTTCTGCCACTTTAAGCCTGTTCTCTTCTTCCATGTATAGTAATAGCGTCATGCCATTTACTCCTGTCATTTCCTAGACCTAGATCTATTGTGCTTCCAAACATGAATAAGCTTCATGTGGGTTATCTGCCTCTCTCTGCCCAGCCCATATGTGGAGCTGGTGAATATTCTCCTGAGCTGTGGCGAGGAGGTGAAGGAGGCACTGACACGGAGTGTCCGGCTACAGTGCGAGCAGAACTGGGGGGCTCTGTGCGACAGCCTGAGCCTCTGCTCCTCCCTCGCTCCGTCTCCCGCCGGCTCTGCCATCGAACACCACCGCCGCCCCTTGCCCTCCCATCCTGAGCCGGAGCACACTCGCCCCCCGCGGCAAGGTGACAAGGAAAAACCCGCTAAGGCCGGCTTCAACGCTCACCCACGCAATCGCAGTCAGGGACCCCGCCGCCAGAGTCCAGAGGCCGGAGTTGTGACTGAGCAGGAAGACCCCAGGGCCACCGACATCCGGAGGTGAAAGCGCAGGAGACGGTACCGACCTTTGACTCCCTACAACGTATAAAAACCACACTTGCAGACTTATGCACACTTTCACACAAAACCACATGCATACACACACACACACACACACACACACACACACACACACACACAACACAATCCCAGACAGACTGAGCAAAAGGAAACAAGCCCCGCCCTTTCCTGTCCTTATTCCGCCCTCTCCAGTCATTCCAACAATCCCACATAGTAAACTTGCAGGGTAATTGTGGTGTAGCGTGTACTGTCATGCCAGACCGTAGGCCTCGATTGTTATTATCATAATTATTTCAACTGTTAGGATTATTTTTGGCTCTAATATAGCATTTCTCAAATCATACTTACTGTAAGATTTGATTGTATTTGTATTATTTATTTTATCCTGTATGCAATGTTGAAGTATCAAAATGTACATAGAAATATACTTATCTATATTTATATAAACATGTATAAATATAGTTACAATATGCAATACTGATATACTATAGATGACATAGTAGATGGTGTGCGGTCTGTTGTTCTCCTCACAGTATTGCACCCATCACACATCGGTCTGTAGATATGTAACATACACCATTTGTTGTTTCAAAGTGGGAATGTGTATTATAATTACAGATACTTCATGATTAAATACATATTGTACAGGTTTCAAGTCCAGTTCTGGCACATATGAATTGTAGTGCATGATGGGCCACGAAGCCAACAAACTTGTGCATTCTTAAAGTGAAAATCCACTCTAAAGAGGATGCAAAAGTAATACTATGAATATGGACGGTTATTTCACACATGTATGTATTGATAAGTCTTTCACAAAGCTAGAAACAAGTGAGCCGGGGCTGATCTCTGACGTCAACAAGCACTGCTGTCTGGGCAGAAATGACTGGGAGACAAACACGCACTCTCTTGTTTCATACGTATTAGTGCAACTCTGACACGACGCAAAAAGTATCACGTCGCTCTCATTCATTGTTAATCGTACCTTAGAACGATGTCTCGGTGACAATCCAGATTAACGTCACGTTTATAGCTTCAGGAGACGTCATTGTTCTTGTTCACGAATGATAATTGAACTGTCCAATGTTATGCATTATCTCTCTTTGAATTGGTTTTCCCGTCTTACTGTCAGCTATCGGTGAACAACAGCAAAGAGAGGATGTTCAATCAAGTCACACACATCAAGGTGCCTAAACTTGTTATTGTCCACAGTGACCGCTTCTCTGTGATTTTAAGTGAATGGATGATACTGTGTCGTGGGGAGATTTAATGTTGAGCTATTTTACGACGATGTTGAGCCACAGAAGTCTTCGATTTTGCACTTTGGATGATTGTCAGTTGTGTGTTGGGCTGCTGCAGGTTAGGAGAGAAGACCAAGTTACCAGAGCAGTCACCCTGTAAACCAGACCTTACTGTATAGGATGTTTCATTTGAGCAACCCTGGTTTCCCTTATCAAAAACGGCAGCAAGTTTTGTATCCCCACGTGCTCCTTCGGACCAGATTGAGCCCCTTCCTCAGAAGATCAATGTTGCCTTTTTGTGGTGTCCCAGTGGGCAGGACAGAGGCTTGACAGAAACCCTCCAGATCTCTGGCCCCTCTAAATTAGCCCTTATTCCACTCTGGTCCTTTACCTAGGTCAGGAGAGACATGAAGGCCTGTTATTCTACTCGTTAGAGCCGCAGGCAACGCAGCGAGGAACCAGGAACTGGGTTAAGTCCACACACGGGGGCTCTGGTGCTGTTATTCTAAATGTTATATTTACTGAGGCCACCAGAGAATTCCTCTGGGACACAGCCAAGAGCCAGCAACACAGAGGCAGAGGGGAGTGCAGCGAGAAGGAGAGAGACAATTTTTTAAAATGTGATGATTCACTCCATCTTTTACTTCTCCTAGTACTCTTCTTCTCTCCCTCCTTTAGGTCACAGGCAGGCTTTCACCATTTCAGGCCGGTCACGTGCTTTTAGCTGTGGAAGTGCAGTTTGTGAACACATTACACCACATGCTGGGGTGCGATTGGTGCAAAAAAAATAAATAAAACCTGCTTAGATTGTGTTGCTCAGTTAAGGGTTTCTTTCATGTTTCTATTTGATGTACTTACAGTAAGGTAATGCTTTTCCTCCCAATCATTTAGAGACTATTATAAGCACAGAGGCTTTGAATCATCTGTGAGGCTTTTCAGGCTTTTCTTTCGTTTTTTCTTTATATTCTGTTGTGGAAGTTGGGATTCCTGTGACATCCCAGCACAAGACATAAGCTAATCCTATTGAGAATGTACTGTATGTGTGTGAAGTGACAATCTGTTCAGCTCTCTGTCATTAGGTTTGATATGGCCTTTTTTTGTAATAATGTAGTGGCTTGAATGGCTTTTCTTTATGTGTTCAGAGGAAAATAAAACTAACCACGTTTCAGTTATTGTTAGTGTTCCATCACCATGTTACGTCTTTTCCTCCGTTAAGCACAAGGACTCTGCTCTTACCTTTGAAAATACAGGACATGGTCTAGAAGTTTGTAACTCACCTGTAAGACATTGGGCATATGATCCTATCAATATCTTTGGACTCATGGAGTCAAATGTATCTTGTTACCATTAAAATATTTTTGTCTGTATTTGTGTGCATCAATATAGTTGTTTTTTTTAAACATTGAAGTAGTATAAAATCGTGGCATAAACACCATGACATTGTGCGTCAGATGAAGAGTTCATACAAGAGGACGTGACATTCAGTGGTAAATCAACGATCTCTGAGCAGGTTAGCAGAGAAGCCCTCTGTCGTCTCAGGTATACACACAAGTTAGTTTGCCTTGTTTGACTTGTCGCCTCTGACGGGCTTTGTTTAGAGTTTCAAGGGCTGGAAATATCCTCCCCATCGAAAAGGCCTAAACATTTACGTCAGCTGCTCTGGATTGTATGCAATGCTTGGGATGGGTTCAGGGTGTCAGCTTTTATGAATTGTCCCAACAGTGTACATTGCCTCACTAAACATTTAGACAGTCCTCTGATTTTAAAGGTAGACTTCCAACTGTTGATTTGTAGCTTTGAGTCATTCAAGGGTCAAGTTAAGTGTACTGAGGTGCATTTCTACTGGCCATATATGGGAATTAGACACACAAATCCTGCCCTCATTTTTTTTTAAAGAATGTATGAGTGGCAGGGCTACATGACACAAAACACATCATAAAGCTTCTGTGATAACAGCCCCTCTGCCGTTCAGTGGGAATCTGCCCTGCACATTCCGTCACAGCGACACCAGCTCTTAACAAGTCATCTCTGAGTGTGTAGTGATGCGAGATGACCACTGGGTGGGGACATCTCTCTTTTTATTGACATGAAGGCAGCTGGTGGGAGCAGGTGCAAGTGATTGATTTGTAATAGGAGTGAGTGAGTTACTTGATTGAAGCTACACATGCTTTTGAAACTGAAATGAATAGTTGATTTAGGTATTTGATGTCTCGGTTTTTGATTTGAAATTTGAATCTAAAGTGTCTTCACTTCCTGTTGTATTCATTTCTCTTGGATAAGGAAGCACACATGAACAGCACATCTCCAAACAGTCTAATAAGGAAAAACAGATGCACTTCAATCATGTTTCATATTAAAGGGGGACTGAGTTTAGTCATCACAAAGAGTACTACCTTGCCTTCATGTCTTCTGTGGCTCTAGCGGAGCTTTAGAACGTTTGAAATAGATGATCTCATTTATTATCTCAGTTTGGGGGGAAAACACGATCAAGTTGCATTATTGAAAATCGAGCATTATTGCAGACTGACCCAGATTAGGATCTAAAAGTCAGGATATCTGGTTCTCTGCGGCTTCAGGTTTGACCCTTCTTTTAAAAATCTGTCTCTTGTGAGTCCCCCTTCTTTATGGTACCCCTTTAGCCTGTCTCCCTATTACACACTTGATACATAGCAAAAACAAATCTGTTTTGCTCGTTCAGGCAGAAAGCACATTGCTGGGATGACCCTATTTTACGCCATTTGTAAAATAGGGTCTAATTTCTCAATATGTTCCCACGCTTATCACACACAAATTATAATAACTGCAATAAATCAACCGTCCCAGTGTCAACAGAAAGTGAAATATATATATATTATTCCCCCTGCCCCCATATGAAAAGGGCAATGTGAGCTGCTTGCTGACGTCATGGCCTGTACACTGTTGGTGTCACACATTATAGTCAGGGAGCTGATAAGAAAGGCTGCGATTACAGTGTGTGGGAGAACGTATGCTGTGTCACACTCAGCTTGTTGTAACAATGCGTTGAGTCTGAGATGGATGACCTCCCGGCCAAACAATGGGCTGCCGGCTGGACCAGAAATCTCCCGGTTTGCATGGTTGGTATGGCAACGTCGCTCTATCAATACGGAGGCAGAATAAGTCACAAATGAGAGGAGGCTGAGCAGCAGAGAGAGACGGCGCTTCTGAGAAGAGAAACCCGAGATAGCCGGCCCGGGGTGCTTTGTGAACATCTGCCCCGTGCTCCAGTCTGAACTAATGAATTAATGACTGGGTGCCTAAGTTCCATGGATGAATCATTAAAGAACCACACAGGGTGAACGGGTGCACCCCGCTTCTGTCTCCTGTTGAGCATCAGAAAGATCAATGTCCTATATTTACCTGAAGTTGGAACAACAAACTGCATAAAATAAGTGGAACCTAATCAGCAAAGCTCAGTTTCACTGGGGAATACAGAGCGAGTTGCTCTCAGGGAAGAAAACGCTGACGCAACTCACTGTGCTCAAATTACTGTCCGCCTCAAAAGAACTACAGCAGGCAGCAGCACACATAAGATGGTGGAGCCCGACACACATTCAGACTCGCAACCTACAACATACAGTGTACTAACTGGTATTAAAGTCAACAGAGTGCCATAGCTACCACTGGTTTGCTGAGTTGGTAGATATTGGCCTGACAATATCATCAAACCAGTAATACGTGAACCAGCAGTCTGTTATTTTTAAAGAAGCTCAAGATACTCTGCTGTGTGTGTCGTTAAACCACCCCGACAGGCCCTGCTGCACATAGGAGAGGGGTGGGGTGTGCTACTACAGTATACAAATGAAGGGTGGGTCTGCCTTGGGGGACAGGGAGACTATGTTAACAAGACTGACTCAACAAGCAAGCCTCTGGAAAGTGACAGGAACTGACTATCTCTTTCAGATACTTTTTAGTACATGGTAAAACCAGTATGTCAAGCTTTTTTCATTTTGATGAGGGATTGCAGTCAAATTGCGTTAAGAGAAAAAAGTCACCTGACGGCCTACATCTATCAGACGGCCTATCCTTGTGGTGATGTGGCAAAATCATGAAGGTATTCTATTTGAACTGGCTTTGAAACTCCTTGTCTAAATAAGGCAACCTTTGCTCATGCTCTCACAGACAAAATGGTCGACATTCAAAACAACATTACTGACCTGCACAGGAATTTGTTGCTCAAGTTCATGTTAATATGACACAGGACCCAGCAGTGTTTACTAGGACTGTCTAAATGAGTCCCTTTTTCTTGGGTAGCTTTAACACAAGTAATTGTACTCCCACCTGCGTAATGTATACTGTAGGTCTAGCAGTAGTACTTCTATTGAAAAGGATACTCTTTCCTCTCTTGGTGAAGGATCATTAAGCTGTTAATGAATTGGCTTCAACAAAAGAGAGAGCACATCTATTTGAGGTTCTGGCTTGCTAGTAGACATCAGATGAGGAAGATCATATTGTATGTCCTAAAGATACTATCTGTATTACACCATGTGATGGTATGATATGATGGTATGATCAGAGCGCTGCACAGATCTGACCAAAGGAAAATTAATAGAGCTCTTAAACTTGATTATGTATACTGAAAATAGCAGCAGCTTATTTTAATGAGATTGCTGTGCAGTACTTTGCTATGGACTCGGGTTATAACAGTTCAACCAAATCAAACATGAGGATCTATTTGTCAATCTGTCTTCCATCAATATCAATCTAATGCATTTCTTTTGCAGGGCCTGTTTGATACACAACATGGCACAACTAGACAAATGCTGTAGGCTGAGGTGGAGGGGAAAAAACAATTGCTTAGTCAAATTAACTTATCTGCATTTGGTTTAAATGCAAATACCACTACTAACGCTTGGGTTTTAACCCTTTGCATTCCATTGGCCTACGGTACTCTTGTATTAAAATGGCTTTTTTTAAAGTCTTGGTTGAGGGTTTAGATAAACATTTCCCTGGATCCTTTATGTGTTTTCCTTACGTTACATCAACTCCTCCCATTGATTTCAAGGCATCCTTATTTGGGAGGAGAAGGTTTGGAGTGCATGTGCCATTCATTGAGACGGAGTGCTATGGGCGTGACCTCACGGCAAACACCCAATCACATGTCAGACTTTAGTAAAGTGGGCGGGGCTTTTGAGGGAAATCCTGACACACAGTGGCTGGTGGCTGATGGAGAGGGCGGGGCTTGTAGACGGAAGTGTCTCCCGACTGGTCCAGCTGTCATCTAGAAGAGAGAAGAGACCATTTACACCGGCTGCCTAAGAAATGCAGAAAAAGGGAAAACGCTAAAATATGGCAACATCTAAACGATAAGATCATGACGCCGAACTGAAGGTAGCTATACCCGACATGTTACCGATTACACATGTTCCTCGATGCATTAGAACAGCCGTCGAGGTTGCGTTGCGTTATTTCCAGACGTATAAATGATGACAGGGTTTGGTAGGCTGTGTGACATTGAACATACAGGACACGAAACAGACGAGGTCGTCTAAAGAGCCACAACGCTGCACCGTTTCTAACCACACAAGTCCTGGAAATTTCCACCGTCGTGTCGTTGGCAGCGCTGTCGTGTACTTATGAAATGTCGATGACGTTGTAGCCAGTGAATTAATTTATTGCCTCCCAGCTGGTTTGCAAATATGCTACAGCGTCTCTGCGGTGTCGGCTATTATCCTAGCGTAGCGGCTCGGTGAAGGGAAGTATACCCTCCGGTTCAGAGCAGACACGAGACGTCATCAACATTTCCCTGTGTTTAAATGGTCGCGTATGAGGAGGTCATCGCTGAAAAAGGAGGATTATTCGGTAAGTGTCCGTGCTTGCGAGCCAACACAGCGCTTGGTGCTTTTCACGGGTGCACTGTAGCGCATAGAGCAGTACATTTAAAAAATGGACTGCTGGGATCTGCATGATTTTAATAGGACACATGGAAGGTGGCGGAGCAGCTGTTAGCTCGCTGCTAGCTGCGTAACGACCTTTAGAGACGTCAGCTCCACCGGCCCCGGCTGTTAGCTGCCTGCGCTGGTTCGGGTGGGTGTTTTCCGTGGTTGGCTGCCAGCTATTCGAGTGTAATATTTCGTCCAGGCCTCCCATGGCCCAGCGAGTCAATGATTTAATCTCATTGATTACATCACAAGACCAGACAGGGTGCAGCCTAAGCACATTCACAGGGTATGGCGAGGCTTGTTTTTTTTTTTTTTTTTTGTAGGCCAGATCAACTTGAGCTGTAACAGCCCTATGCTTTTTGTTACCCATTCCCTGCCCCTCCTCAACCCACATTTTAGGATAAAGAAGACGGTGACAGCCAAAAGTGAATTGAAGATCTACTGGGTGTCCTAAATG